ACGCAGCAGCTGCCCGCTGCAGCGCATTAACGACCGCGTGCTGATTTCGAACCGCTGCTGAGCTCCGAGTTGCCATAGAAATGCGTGATCCTGGCACTAAAAGCAGGCGACGGTCTTAAACGAAAAGCATCTTTTCCTCCGGTAGGTTTAGATCATCTCAGGTTTACGACAAAAGCATTTAGAAGGGGAAAACATATCGTTTCTATAGAGTGTGAAAGACACGGTAATAAGACGCTATTAAACCGTAGCGAAGAGACCGAACTCGGCCCATGGCGAGCTCAGGCCCAGAAGAAGCTCCAAGCCATCGCGCCCGTCCCTCGCACCGACTACGTTACAGCGCCCGCACGGAAGGCGCGAGGGAAGAAGCTCCCCAGCAGCGAACACGGGTGAGCCGGCCGAGCTCGGGGAGCTGAAGGACGCAGCTCGGCGCCGTCCGCTCCCGCCGCCCCAGCTTGCAACACTCGGGCACGATTCCTTACAGCGTCGCTCGGACAACTCCCAGGGGTTAGATGCATGCTGAACTACAACCGGCGATTACAGCAGCTTTTTGCTAGCTGGCACATACTGTATCTATAAATTTTAGTACAAAAACTTAAAAAATACAGAAACTAGGTCAATTTGTTAACTACATATTTACAGATAATTACAGTATTTTCACTCACAATAATTAAACTAATTGTCAGTGAAAAATTCAGACTGTGCATGTTCTGAGGTACCCGTACTCAGGGGGTGGGGAGCAGGGGGCAGAGGGGTGAGGCAGGGGCTGGAAGAGACCCCTGGTTTTGTTCACGTCCCTGGCGGTAACTCCCGCCGCTCCTCGGCGGATTACCTCCAGGTTTCTGGACTCAGTGCGTGCACTCAGAGAAAGCAAGCAGAGAGGGAACTGATTTTGCTTCTTCCCCCCTAGAACATGGCTTTAAGATGTTTTGAGGACACCAGACGGGGGCAAAGCGAATGGTCGTGTACAAACTGCCTTCCTCCTCCCCCTCCCCGAGGAGTCTTCAGGTGAAGTGCAAGTATTCAGAGACCCACAGCTTGGTGGTTAAGGTGCTTGTTTGCCGGCAAATCCTGATGTACCAAGTCCCCCTCCAGCTGGCAAAGGCCTTTCCTTCCCCAGCACTCAGGGAAGGCGAGCCGGGACGAGGGGCAGGGGAGGGATGCAGCGAGTAAACGGCACAGGCCCAACTGGTTGAATCCCGCTACGCGGCAGAAATCGGGGTTATCTGCTTCCATCTCTCCCTGGTGGGGTCATGTTTAATGTAACCGCTAGATCAGTCAGCTGCTTTCTGGCTGTAAACAGCAACCCACAACCCTAGGGCCTGTCTTACACACATTTCTCAACACACTCCGGCTCGATCGACTCATAAAAGTGCAAATTGAAACGAACACAGCAGACGGACATCAGCCAGCGTCAGGCTGGGCATCCACCACTCCTCCGCTCTTGGCACGCGACTCTAGGCTCGCTACAAGGCAGTGCCAGGGTGGAAAAGTCCCACAGGCAGGAGCACAGGCAAGTTTACGATGACACTACTTGTGAAAGGGCAAGGATGTCACAACCAAGCCCAGGCGTCTCCTAAAAAGCTCACAAGAGACCTCCTTTAAAGGGGAGAGGGAAAATTGCCTCCCATTTTTCTGGGAGCACAAAAAGAAAGAGTCCCTGTGTTTGGCATGCTTCGATGCTGGTCCTCCCCAGGGGGTAGATAGCCTGGCCGGATACACAGTTGTGACTTGACCCACCCAAGAACCATTTCTCCTCAAACTGCCAAACGCCTCGCTAAGATAGTGGGGTTTTCAGAGAGCAAAGGAGAAGAGTAGAAGAACGGGACTCCACAGCTTGAGAAGCTCACGTTTGAAGGCTGCCACTTGTCCAGCATGGCTTTTACCCCTCTGCTACGAGAAAGGCCATAGCAAGGTTTACTAGAATCAAGACAAAAACCAAAATAGGCATCTGGGGGAAGAGCAAGGCTGTCCTCTACTTCCTGGACGTGAGTAACAAAACACACATGCCTAAGCTGGAGGAGCAGGAAGGGAGTAGAATAAAGAACAGAACAACTGTGTGCGTATGCATATAAACATATATGCATGTATATACACACACACACACACACTTCTTTAAAAACTTCCCAATTTCACTTCTCTTTTACCCTTCACAAAATCTGTTCCAGTTATCGGACATGAATAAAGGTAGATGCAGTGTTCAGAGATGGAAGGAATGCCAAAAGTTAGTGCCTGTGCAGCGTGCCAAGACCTTGCTGGGCTTGTGATCTTTCGTGGTGAGACACAGCTGGGGAATCTGAGCTCAGCCTGCTGAGCACTTCACCTGCCCACTCACCGCCTCTCCAGCAGATCCATACATTGCCTGAGCTGCTTTCCTATCGCTACACCATCTTGTTTTCTTCTCTGCTGCCTCCTGACTTTCTGGTACCCTTTGAGAGCTCTCTTTTCTCCTTTACAGCACACCAATAGCAGCTATCCTACCCTCCCGCTCCCCCACAAAAGAAAGCTACAATTAACAGGGCAGTATTTATGCAAAGGGCTTTTCACTGTATGCAGCCCTAGCACATTTTGTTCGGATGTACACGCACTTGCCCTAACAGAGCCCTGCTGCAGGGTGGTGGTAGCTCAGGAACAGAGGCAGTGCTAAAGCACAGCAGCACTGAAGTGCCCCGACAGAAATGCACAGCATGAGGCGCGTGTGCAGGCATAACTGCATGCACACATACACGTAGAGTATATAAATTATATACAAATGAGACACCATATATATATCCAGAGAGATGTGCGTATTCAACAGAGTAATGGTAGACAGTGGTACAATACAATTTATTGCCTCCCAAGAAATGGCACATAAACAGGGTCAAAGCAGAAGGGCAGCTCAAAGTTCAACAGGCCCTTTTCCCTGTGGGGTGAATAAACAGCATTATTCCAGGATCTACCATAGTGCTTTCTGCACAGGTTACAGCGAATGCGCAGTGCACATTCTTCTGAAATGTTGAGGGATGAATGGGATAGAGTGACGCCAGCCTGTTCCCAAGCCAGGCAAGGAATGGCTGCAGGGAATTTTCTGTGGAAAGCTTGGTATCGTACCACTTTTGTTTCTTCAACCCCTTTGAAGCTCACAGGCTTGGACCGAATGCAGGTGAAAGAGAGCTGACCTCCGTTTCAATGCTGCATCCGAGGAACAAAGCACAGACCGTTCAACAGGGATGGGAGAGGTGGTTGCTGACTCCCTGGGACCACAGAGAATGAGGAAAAACGTGGTCCCTTTCACTGATTTTAATTAAATAAAATCAAAAGAATTTCAAATCTGATAAAGAGGTGAAAACGTTGGCTCCTCTGGTTTTATATCTCTGGGCTCAACTTCATCAGAACTTCAGGTGTTTGCAACGGGGAAAGAAAAATAATCACAGAATAAAAGATTTTAGGTGTCAAGCTGGGGGATCTGACAATACTGCAACAAAATTTGCCAGGTAGTCCATACAGAAGAATTTCTGCAGTGTTAAGTGTCAACATAGAAGAGGCAAGAACATCTTTGCTGAGGTACTAGAATAGTTTCTACAATTTTCAGATTACAATCTTTTTAAAACCAAGTTTAGGGCATGACTGCAACAAGTACAAAATGGAGTAATTGGTCTTACTTTTAAAAACAGAGTTTGCAAACTGATTCAGAAAGTGTTTGCTTCTCTCCAGCACATTTTACAGTCATTCATATCTCTCACAAATAAATACTTGAGATATATTAAAATTCTCAACACCAATGACCTCCTCCTATACCTCCAACGTACAACCCGATCTTGAGTCTCTGGCTACACTTGCTTTCTCTTGAGATCAGGCTTACTTAGGACAGCTTTCCTTCCCACAGGTACACACAGGGACACACACATTTAGACCAGTTAATCTGAATCAGTTTTTGCAAACTATTTTAATTAAAATATTAACTTGTTGGAATAGTCCAGGTCTGCACATGATATACATGTAAAAATGGTTACTACACAATTCTTTTTGAATACAAAAAAGCCAATATGGGATAGCCATCATTTGGATTCAGCATTCAGTCATGCTTGACATTACACAAAGAGATGGGTTGAGGGAATTCTGTTGAAGTAGCTCAATTTAAGCCAGAGACTTTGACCAAATTCAAACCATAACAGAAGCAAAAGAATGAACCCACTGAACTCGCAGGTACAGCTTGTCCCTGCTGTCGCTGCTGCTGTTTGTGATTGAGGAGCTGAACTGCAAAACATTGTGTTAGCACCATGCTCTGGGCACACCCTCCACACTCGCACTGTAAATTCCAATACAATTTGGGGTTTTTGGCTTTTCATTTCATTTTTTCTTTCCTTCTGAACCCAGGAAAATATAGGTACCCTTCCTATATCAGTTTTGCTGCATTTCAACAACATTGCAATGCAAAAGAATGACCCCCAAACATCAATTCCACATTAAAAAAAAAAAAAAAACATAGCTGAAGAAGGAATAAGACAATTCACGGTCATCGCTTGCCCCGCAGGGGTCAACCAAACCAACCCCCTCCTTGGGGCCACTGCCTCATTCTCAAGCTTCCATGAACTGTTAATACTACAAAGCTCCTTACTAAGGGGCTGCTCAAACATATTTTGGTATAGTTTCCATCTTTGATTAGAGTGATATGCTATGCCAAGGCGCTGGAAATCCCACTTGGATTCACCAGACATTGGCAGAGAGTTAAGGACTGGGAGCGGATGTTAATTTAGCTAATGAAAGAACGTCGCCGTGTTGAGAGTACTAAAACAGCAGCGAGACTAGAGCATTTACTATATAAATATGTCACATGGACAAACACATTCGGAAAACCTTGCTTTTGAGCCCTATAAACATATTAAAGGCAAATCCTAGAGTTAGCAGCTAGTGTTTTCTTCAAGATGATTAGTGTGCAAGGAAAAACATTTACAAAGAACCCTGGCTGGTCAGTCCCCAAGACAGAAATCTTTGCCTCAAGCAAACTTCATCTACCTGCTCTTCTCCGAACCCCACAGTGCTGGCTGACGCAGAACGCACTGGCACAAGAGCACGGGGGTATCTCCGGTTCCCAGCACTAAGGGATGACGCTATGCCACAAAGTCATTAGACTCCCCGACCCTTTATCACCGGATTGATTTCACAACCACCTTTGCTTCCTTTCAGTAGTACAGCAGCTCCAAGGAGCCTCCAGAAGTAGTGCCTTCTTGCATGGTGTGACATGCTGCCAAACAATCGCAGCATCTCAAGGGACTGTAAAAGTTGTAATATATTGCAGCAAACAAAATAATAAAAAGGAGCCTCACATGCAGCAAGATGTACAGTGGTGATGTGGGTTAGTCATCAGCTGGGAAAGAGTCATTGGCTCAGCTCCTCCTGGTACACTGTGGCAACTAAACATTTAAACAGTTGGCTACACTCTACATGTAAACAGGAAATTGCAACAAGCCAAAAAGGTAATAAATTGGTGGATGTAGTGTAATAATGAAAAACCCGATCAATGGCGTTTCATGACTATGGCATTCTTCAAAATACCTCTGGCATTTGAGATTGATTGGCTGAAAAATCTAACATTTCTGAATGGAGCAAAAAGGACTATGCTGGGCTCCAAGAATCATTCTGATGCTTAGCTAAAATGAGATGTCACAGTATTAGCTGTACAAGTGTATCACTTATGCTCCTCCGCCCAACCTCACCTGAGCTACCAGCAGCACAGTCAGGGAGTGCCAAAGCGGGAATACAACTTTGAACATTTCTAGCCTGTTTCCTCCAGACAGGTTTACCTATGCAGTTCTCGGGAAGCCGACCAGTGCCTTCTGGGAGAAGGTCACTTCTTAAGCAACACGGGGTGGGCACTTGGGTAGAAGGGCCCTGCTAAGCCCTGGTGTCTCTTGGCCTCTCTTCTCACCCTTCTTCCTCACCTACAGGTCTCTGAAAATGCCTCTTGGCAGAGGCAATACCCTAGAAATGTATCCAATTTAATGACAAATAAAAACGGAACAGAAGATCCAGCTGTTCCTCCCTTGGATGCTGGTTTAAGGGCAGCTCACCTGGTTTTCGCAGGGTGGCAGTTAGAAATTTATGAACATGGGAGGAGGTCTCCATTCTCCCTCAGACTTCCTACGGATGGCGTGACAACAGCAGTCTGAGGCCCTTCTGTCACGTCAGTGCGACAACCACCAGCCAAAGCCAACTCTTCTGACTAATTGCATATATTTCTCAGATGCCCTCCCAAGTCCCCTCCAAAAAGTAAAAACAAACAGACAAACAAACAAAAACCAACCCTCCCAACCCTGCAGCCAAATACTATGACATCCCAGTTAGTAAACACAAAACATAATGCTTTACAAAATGAATACAATATTCCATGTGCACCCAGCTTCCACACGTCAGCACCGCACTGAGGAGGCTGCTGGGCTGGTGTCTGTAGGCAGTTTCTGTTGGCAGACAGCTCCAGTGGAATTGCCACCCTCAGTTATTGTTTAAGTTATGTATAAGACATGTGTGAACCATTGGATATTTGTGAAGTAACACTTGTGCTCCTGCTCATGCCCTGTTCCGTCCGTCCCCCAGAAGCTGTCCGCCTCAGAGCCTGGGGGCTGTTGCGGACCCCTATAGCACTACCTCGAGGTACCCCCTGCATGGGCCCCGAGGGGTGACCCCATGGCTGAGGTCCACCTTGCATTGGATGGCCCCAAGCTTGTGGTGGGCCACCCATGGGATGACCCCAGTGAGGTGCTGCGCCCCCAGTAGGATTGTGGGACCAGCCAGAAGCTCCCGGGTAGCTGTGGCTGAACGCCTCGGGGGAGAGATTAGAAAGAACCATATTACTAAAACCTAGCCTCATGCTTTCTGAGTCAAAGGCTTCGATCTCGCGAGCTTGACGCTCCAGCAGGCTTCGTATCCGTTCGGTACGCTCGTTTTGCAATGCCAGCATCTCCTCCTCAATCTGGGAAGGCAAAAAGAAAAGACATTCTGTAGCAGCAGGACTTTGCAGGCACGGCCTCAAGCCTTTGAAGGCCTTCTAACAGCAAGCAAATGGGGAAGCCTCTCCCCATGTTTCTGTGAAAGACTGGATCTCAGTCAAGCGCCCCCCAAAACACAATCTGAGCAAAAGGGTGAAAAGCGATGGTCAAGACTAACTTAGTTCACTGGCATCTCCCCTGCTGTCAGCAACCACACAGCCAAGAGGTTGTCTTGGTCTGTACTGAAGGCGCTGGAGAGAGCACTGCGCTTGTAAGCGCTCTGTTGCCTTAGTCAGGGAATATGCAAAGTGATTTCATCTGGAATTTAGGAAACAATCTGCTCCAACGTGAGTCATCTCCTGAGCCATTTGGGGCTTTCAGAAACTGCCTCATTTACTTGCCTATTTCTTAGTGCTAGCAGGGAGATACTGACTCTCTCCATAGAGCAGCCTTGCTCACTCTTGCTGAAGGCTGCACAGTGGTCAGCTGGCTTGGAAACGACAGAGTAGGAAGATGGTGTTTTCTCTAATGTTATCTCTTTAGATTTCTGCACCTGTTTCTTCCAATACTACTATCTAAGAAGAATCTCCCCTTTCCTTTCAAAACTAGCGCCTCCAGGATACGAAGCTGCACATAATTTCCAGTCTTTGCATCAACAAAACAAACAGGACTTAGTGTGACTGAACTTCACAGAAAGACATGCCCAATGCAGCACATTAAAATAACATCACTGAGAAGTGACCTCAGGATGCAGGACTCTGAAGATGAGGTGTCAGAGGCGCATGGGAAAGAAATGAGTAAATCTAAATTCTTTTGGAGACTCTCTTGGGACAGGCTCATTACTGTTGCAACATGAGCAACAGCATCAGGGTATAGCATGTACAAGTACCTCAGTAAAACTTTAAAACTGCCCGTTGATGGGGCTGGCTACTCCCTCCTTAGCCCAAGTCAGAGACACACATGCTCTGTTGAGTTACTATGGTGAAGGGCACCATCAAAAATAAAAAGCACTGCACTGAAAAGGAAGTAGAGTCCTACGCACGCACTGACATCTGGAATGTGGTTTATTGTTGAGTATCAGAGATTGACCTTGCCATAGGCTATGTATATGTTTGTGCATATAAATTCAGAGATTCATCTTGTGCACATACCTGCCCTTCCTCTGGCTGCCAGACAGCTTCAGTTAGCACATGTATGCAAATACCAGCTGACATCGCTGAGCTACCCACACCAGAACACTTGCAACTGTTAATTCTTCCAAAATAAACCCCCAAAGCCCCACACCCTAGCAACCTGGGCACGCAGGTGGTGCAGTTTTCCCTTGAGCTGCCGCTAAGCAACTGTAATCCCAGCAGAAACCAGTGGCCCACAACTTTGCGTGTTGCAACGCATGAGTACTACATGTATTTCTAAATAAAGCCTCCCGCCTATGGAAGTTGAAGGACTATCCAATTTTTTGCTATTCTAAGGCAGTAATTAACTGCAGGCATTAAAACCTGCAATGGGCTGAACTCATTATCAATGGTCAGGGACACTCAGCATACAAGCAGTAGGCTTGCTATGGCATGCTTCTTCCCAGAGCTCTTGTCAGATCATGCCGCCAGAGGGCAATGCAGACCCAGCATAAATTCAGTTGCAGGGCTGCAATGGGAGCCGTCCTCTCCCGGATGGGAACAAAATAACTAGGACCAGACCAACCTAATGATGGGGTTTAAATACAGGTACAATACCTGTGAGTGCCACAGGGGAATCTTGTTTTCACAAATTAAATTGCTTCCTGCGATTCAACTTTCTGTAAGACCAAAGTGCAATAGGACTGTGCTGTTTTCTCAGAGGTGCTTTCTCTGCTGACCATGAGGTGGAGCAGTTTTATTCCAATAAGGCCCCTCTACCAGCCAACCATCCATCTGACAGCCTCTGGGGGAAGTAAGTGTGAAGAATCTCGAGGCCACAGAGTAATTGCCGTAATTTAACAATCGCTGATCAGCACCAAAGTTTGGAACTGTCGTGTGGACGGTGACGGCTGGCACCCACAGGGCAAATCAAGAGGGGAAAAATTCACAGGAGGAAGGCTGACTGTGCACTTCCTTTCACAGACTAATGCGTTAGTTACCCTTCCCCTGGTTTGCGTAGGCCACTCGCACGCATTTCTACACATACCACGTGTCTGGCACTGGATGGGAAAGCATGCTCCAACAAGAAAGCCCTTAAATACAGGTAGTCAATTCAAGCTTAAATCTAGGGAGCAGCAGGTCCCATGCTTGCGTGTCTGGCTCCTTCAATTTGCTTAAACCAACAGTGCAGATATAAGCATTTCCACAACCTGAATGTCATTTCACTGGGAAACTACAGCTCAGTCCCCATAGACCGACAAATGGAGCTCTGCTCCATTACTGCTGCAGTAAATTAGATAACCGTATTGCCATAAAACACAGGGTCTCAAATCACAAGTCCATCCTAACGCATTTTACCTTTCTTAATCTCAAGATACCTACTGCTGACACCATGGAAAATAAATAAATAAATAAATAAATAAATAAAATCTTAGCTTTGGATTGTTGTCTGTCCTCTAACAAGCCGGAGGAGTCAATCCGCAGCTCACAGACTGAAAGAACAGTTCACCTTCCCTTCTGCCCAGAGAGCCACGACTTCCTCCAGCAGGCAAAGCTTCAAAAGCAGCCAGAAGCAGCTCACAAAGGCTAAACTTTCTGCCAGCTCAACTATCCTATGTGTCACTGAGCTATCATCCTAGAAAGGCCAATATCCAAATGATCTGTGTTGCTCTATACAACAAGGTAAGAGCAATTTCTCTCTGTTGATGAGCAAGGTGCAATTTAAGATCTGAAACAAGGACAGTGCTACTGATACTCGCCTGCCCGTCTTACCTTCTGCTCAAGGAGGGCCCGGCGGAGGGATACCCTCTGCTCAAGGTCACGCAGCTCCCGATCATGCTGGGCTTCTGCCTGCATCTTGATTTTACTCTGATATGCATTCAGCATAGCAGCTGCATCTTCAAAACCTGGCACTCTGCTTCCTGTGCCTCGTCCAAACGCAGCTGGGAAAGGCAGACAATAGAGACGTTTCACTATGGGGTAACCACTCATGACACCCTGGGGGAGGAACTGCAGGGAGGGGAAGAGAATAGGATGGGACTTTGCTTTCTTAGCAATACAATTGGCCTCTATTGTACTTAGTTTCACTGAACAGAGAACCTATAGTGACAAGGACTGGGGACAGTGAGCCCACAGCGCTGATGCAAGTGATGCTGCCGAGCAGTGGTGCCTCAGGAACCATGATCCATACTGCAAAAACCAGATTGCTGGAGGTGGTAGCATCCACAGCTCTCCTTTTCATTAGAGGCAAAGCTTAAAGAAAGAAAAGCTCTCCTGTGCTCTGTTCAACTGGATTAACCAATTTCCTGTTATGTGGGAGACTTAAGTCCATATCCCTGCCAATGCAGGACTTAGGGTGAAAGAATAAAATGACAAACTTAGAAACCCGTAAGCAACGCGATACTGAACTTTTTTTAATCTTCCTATACAAAAATTAAGCCAGCTACCCTGCCTCACAGTGTCAAATTTGTGCACAGAGTGACTTGCGCAGGACGCAATATGCAAGAAGTGCAAAGAAAACTGCACGTTCAGTTGCAGCAGGGACTCAAAGCATTGCTCATGTGGTCATCCCTTAAAGAAGGGTTTACAGAACTTTCACATCGCTTTTAACATTATTTCAGATTTACAGTCAAAAGTCTGGACTCCTCCATGACTCACTGAGCATCCTCCACCAGTAGGACATGCTTTGGTCAGTATCACTGAAAACTCAAAACCTCAATGACTTAGACAGTAGGCTGCTCATTATTTAATGAAGCTTTAACAGCAGCTTTTACATTGTCAGATTTCATGCAAAAGCAGTCTTTTGGCCACACAGATGCATCATTGTGCATCTCTAAAACAGCGGCTTCAGCTTCAACCTGCCTGAAGTGGGCAATGTCTCCTTTCTCTGAATTTGAACGCTGTTTTTTTAAATATAGAGGACTGTGCTGTGCATGGCGTATGTAGCACGGAAGCAGATCCCCTGTGCTATCAGGATACAGATCGGTTAAAACGTAAACATCCCCATTTGGCTGAGGAACCCTGGGTCCCTGGGAGGCAACTCACAGCTTGTGTAGAGAGCATTTCATTAATGCTGTGATCATACTGCTCGGCCAGGATAGCCAGCTTCCGGGTCTGCTCCTCCTTGAGCCGTTTGAGGACAGCTTTATGTTCACTCTTTGGCGTGGTCTCCAGCAGATGGTTTCTCAGTGCTTTGTACTGTCTGGTTTGAATCTTGCATGTATCCTGAAACTGCTTCTTTATCTGTAGTTCTTTTGACTGGAAAGATGGAGGGGACACAAACAAAAAGAAAAACAGCACATTTCAAATGGGAGAAATATCCATTCAAATGGATATTTAGGATTACATTAAGGACGTGAGTTCAAGAATCCACAAATGTATATTAACATCTACAGTACAAGGAGGGAAGCAAAATGCACAAGAGGCAACGACTACTGCTGCAGCTGCTTTGACACTGCTACTGCGCAAAACAATTACAATACAGACACTTTTGCAACAAAGCTCCAGCCTAAATACAGCTGTCTCTACACAAAGAGCCTCACATTTGTCACTGGACTGGATCCAGTCTTGGGTATTGCTTTTCAAGAAAAGTTCTTGAGGGATAGGACTAATATTTATTAGTACCGAAAGCCATACTCACACAGGGTTGCGCTTGTATGGCACATATATACGAAGAGCACTTAACGTTATGAAAAGAAGCAGATCTGGTGCATGGAAGGGACAGGGAAAAAGGGTGACACTTTTTCCATTAAGGGTTTCATGAATGAGGGATGTATTCTAAGTCTTAGATATTAAGAGTTTGATTTTCATAAGGATACTCAAAAATGGCTTGGAAAGGTTAGACATCTGAAGAGGTGCACCACAAGCAACGCTAGTAGCACGCTAGCCTAGCGGACAAACAATTCTCCAGTCCCCTTGGAGGCTTACTGGAGATTGATTTTTTCCTTTGCACTTGTTAGCATCTCCGTGTTGTTGAGAGACACGGTTTTGTGAATGTGCACAGGACTGAGACACACTAATCCCGGAAAAAGTACCTGGAGTTGCCATCGACTTTGCTGTACGATGCTGGATAAATTAATTACTCCTTTCTTTCACTTATCTTACCTGCCTCCAGAGCAGCTTGTAAGGGTTAACATCTGCAAAGTTTTTTTTTTTTTTTTTTTTTTTAAGAGCCTGAAAAGGAAGCTTCTCTAGAGTTCCCTGCATCTTTCTACATGAAGACTGGGTTTTGCTTAGTTAGAAGAGAGCCTGAAAAGGAAGCTTCTCTAGAGTTCCCTGCATCTTTCTACATGAAGACTGGGTTTTGCTTAGTTAGAAGTATCCTAGCCAGAAGTGATGAGTGATGGTGGTTAACTGATGGATAGTTATGTTCTCCGAGGAGGCGGGTAGGGGTCAAAAATCGGAGCCGGACACATCAGTCAGTACGCAGCCCGGGCCATTTATACTGTTAGCCCACCATGGTCAAATCCTGAAGTGCTGGGGACAGGCAACGAGTGTAGGAACAGATTCCTGTTCCTTGAAATAGCTTGGAAGAATTCTGGGTTCTGAACCAGCAAGGCAGATATGTGCATGTCTCCCGTCAGCTCCTCCACCGAGTGCTCCTGGCACTAACTCAAGGCTCAGCAGGGTAGGTGATAAGCACAGCACTTGCAGCTACCTATGAAGATTGAGAGGGATCAGACAATAAATCCAGCCCAATTTAGATGTCAGTACGCTTTGTTGCATAAACCAACAATTCGTCTTTGCTAAACTGATGCAGAAAACCGGACAGAGATGGTTTTCATTCAACCAAAACATGCTGCCATGGAGAGGAAGATATCACTTTTACCCTTTCTAAATTCACAGGAAGTTATTTTCCTCCAGGAAACCTTTAAGGTTGTTTCTCCCTGCCCCTAAGGGAAATGCCTGCAGGTTACATACTCCCATCATGGACCTGGTCACAGCAAAACACTATCAATCTATTTTGTCCTCACTTTCCGTCAAGTTTCACTTGGACGCCAGACTCTGTTTACAGCCTTCCAATCCAAAGGCTTTAACAACAGGAAACAAGGGAGGGGTAAGGTTTCCAGTCAGACTTTTGACAAGATCATTTTGACCTAGCCTTGTGAAATACCAGCAAGAGGGTATTTGCATCACAATTAAAAAACTCAAAATAATAACAGAGCAGTTTCCACTGAAGGGTGAATTCTAGTTATCATTCCTTCCAATACAGTAATAATTGCAACACACACTGACCATTAGAAACTGCTTTCAGGACAAAGGACTTCACTAAAAACAAAGGGAAAGCCTGAAACCTGTGCCCTCTAAGGAAAACACTGCTGGAGGGGGAAACCATACAAATAATCAAATTATCTAGTCAAATAAGAATACTTGCCTGCATTCGTCAGAAGCGGGAGAAAGAGTTAATACCAGGGAACAGTCTCAATACATAGGGGATTGTAATACAAACTGAGTGACTGTCCAGTAGGCTGCATTAGCAGCACTGTGTGTACGTGGAGGTGCTAGACTGAGAGCTCAAGCCTGAAATCCTTCACTAATCACAGAACAGCTATGCAAGGCAAACTGCAAGCTTTCCATGCTCCTCACCAAAATGCTCCAGCCCTCTCCCCACTGGAAAGGGGGAGGAGGTTGAGTAGTCTGCAAAGGTGAGAGGGGAGCTAAGACTCCACAGCCTGGGCAGACCTCCAATTTCACTGTGCCTACTGCCAGCTAGGGAATTCATACAAACGTGCTGCCCACTCGTGTTTGCATCGCATCACCTTGGGGAGGCGGAACTCATTCATGCTAATCTCGGAAGGATCAACCTAATGCAGCTGCTTCAGTTTTATTCAGCTCAGAGTGCAGCACAGCTTCTTTGTGAAGTCACCAGCTATTTATACATTATATCCTTGGAGATTCTTAACAGCGATAAGATGGTCCCTGGTACTCACAAGCTAGGTTTTTCACTATTTAGTATTATTCTGATATTGACAAACCACATATTTTACTCTTGCTGAAATTCTATTTCCAGTTGGTTACTTTCCAGACAATCTCTGTAAGAAGATGACTTGCAGGTGGTGCAAACTAAGTCAGACAGAAATATCACGAAGCAGGAAGACCTAGAACAATACAGAAACGCCATGCTCAGTATGCCATACGCTCATTTTGTTACTGGCACAGCTGAACACTGGGCGGAGAGAAGAATGCTGCCTCCTCAAAGGAAACGTACCAGGCAGCTATGTGAATGGCCTTATACTCCATTCTGAGGCACTTCAGAATAAACCACTGGACTTCTTTTGATGAAGTGAAGGCTTACAGTGAAAATACTAAGAGTCTCAATTACAGAGGCCCCATAGTTCTGGTCAGGCATCACAGTGGCAAGGGCAGCGCGAGTAACCCATGAGAGCACAACACAGCAAAGGTCGGCGTTAGCATCTTCCTCTTCCTGACGATGCTGCAATTGGTTGTTACCTCTTTCCCAACGTTGGCTGGCATATCAGCATTAACACAAAAAAGTAACGAGGTGTGCTATAGCCAAGACTGGTAGCGCATTTTACTTTGATGCACAAACACCACAAAGCCTTTAAAAAAAACCCCCAGAACACACACACGCAAAACACTGCTTCTTTCTATAAAGACAGATTATCTTCTTGTGTGTGCGGGGAGAAGAGGATCAGAAAACGGTGTAGGAGGAAGAGGGGAAAAAGGACACTGCAAAGACTAAATGCATTTTAAAGTAACACAAAAAGGAGGGCACGTTGCCGAGAACAGTATGCTTTTCAAATTAAATGAGGGAACAGTGTTGTTAGAGCCTGCCTATAATACCCTGCAACCATGATCACCATTGCTACAGTTCATACATATGGTGCTTGTAGGGCTGCAGTCACACAGCTTGACAAACATGACACTTCTATAAAAACATATTAATTATAGAATTAGATAGCTCTTCAAATTAGCGAGTTTCAAAATACCTTGGACCCACATGCACTGCAAATAAGAACTCAGCTGCAGCCTGGTCTCACGCTGCATCGCTCATGTGCAACGCGTGCACAAGCTCTCGCACGCTGAGCTGCGACATACCACTTTCCCACTACCACTAGCAGTGTCCTGCTCCTGCAGCGTGCTCCCAGCGCTCCTGCGTTACATAATACCTTCAGGCTCTTGGGCTGCTGCCGAACCTCCATGACGTGCTTACGCCGCAGCTCCCGCTCTCGGCGCTTGTTGTATTCCAGCTGGTTGGTGAGCTCCGTTTGGTGCTGGAGTCGGATCAGCTCACAGCGCATCTTCTGGATGGTACTGAGGTGGCGGAACTCCAGCTCCTGCATGGACTCGTGCTGACGCAGCAGCATGGCGTGCTCCAGATCCTTCTGTGTCTGCCTTTTGTTCAACTCCTAACAAAAGGAGGGAGGGAATTATTAGATCCTTTGCTTACTTGGATTTGCATTTGTGATGTGATATTTCACTTGGTCCACAAGGCATTTCCCTCTTTCCAAGGCATTTGAGGGCAGAGCACGGTTTTTACATCTTATCAGAAGCAAACAACATTGCCATAGGCAGTTTCTCCCTCCTCGTTTCACTCTTCTTCTTCCTGTCCTGGATGTTCAACAGGATTCACAGGAAGCATTTTCTGGAAAGGACAGTAATTGTTTTCTCTATTGACTCTTTGGATCTAACAGCTCTCTCAAAACAGAGCACTAAAGTGAACATTTGATTCTGAACGATCCCTTAAATGTCATGTTGATTCCCATCAGGGGTTGTGAAAAATATCAACCCATTATTTTACCAAAAAAATTTCTGATGTGGTGATTAATGTTTCAGTGAGACTGCAGGTGCTCTACAAGGTGCATTTCAGACTGGAGACAGTTCCACAGCCTCATCTCTACCTATTCTCTTACCTCCCGAACCAGGTCCTGCTCCAGGTTATGGCGGCCAAGGAGCATCCGTCTCTTAAAGCGGCGGCACTCCAGCTCCAAGTACTGTCTCTGACGCCTCAGTAAGTTGGCTTCCTCCTCTGCCTGGAAATGCTGGATATTCTCCTTCTGCTTGGAGAGCCACTCCTGCTTCTCCTTCTTTGGAGTGCTCTGGTTTTCATTCAGCTCCTGATAACAGCAAGGTAATTAATTGTGGAATAATCACATTAAGCTCCTTGGCACTGACCAACTGGACAGACCTGCCTAATAAACCACGTTTCAGGCAAAGCTGTTCCACCTTGTCTTTTCAGGGCCAGTACCATCAAAGCATTTGCAAAATGCATCATGTCACATATCTAAGGGAATATCAGAAGACAACTCGGACAGGATCAAATTTAATTGCAGCTTTTTTTGCATTGACCATTTTAGCTAATCAAAATGCTGTTCATGCTCACAGTTTCCAGGCACATATGATAGCCTAAAACTTAAAAATGATGGTTTGAAACCGAAAATGTAGAGGTGCAATGAGATCCAGCCATATTGCCTGACAGATATTTTTACAGGCCCCCGGGGGGTTGAAAGGAAGGGGAAAGTTTCATCATCCTAGCTCATTCACAAACATTCTTCATACAGAACTCCAGGCCCCTAGCATATCAGACAATTATTATATGCCTTGCTTGATCAGAACACATATACACTGTACAAGCAACTCACTGAGGCTGGGCGACTCACTGAGATTCCATAACTTACAAAAACAATTTTAAAAAGTTCACAGGTGAAATTTAAGGCCACATTTTCCACATTTGTATTAAATTCAACATATAGCTTGAAACCTCTTTTATCAAAGAACTTGCTTGCTTGAATTTCATACTAGAGTATTCCGTACAATAATTAGACTTGTCACAATACATTTCAGCTCAAGTATGAGACAGAACTCCTCTGTATTTCATCAAGGGGTCAACCTACTGTGTCCTGGTGTGCTGTGATCTACTGCCTGTCCAGGAAAAGATTCCAAGTTATTATACAGAGCCCACGCTGCTACAGTTTTGCTGTTAGATCTTTCAGCTTTGCTGCTGGTCAGCCTTTTAACTCCCAGGAAATGTCTATGTCTGGGAATACTTCCCTTTGGATTTCATGGCTGCAGGTGCCACAGTTGCATCACACAAATTGATGGTTGAACTGTTCTTCCAAAAACATTATTTATAGTGCCTATAACTTCAGCCACTCTTTAAAAGGAACAAGGAAGTTCGATTCTACAGTTGTTCTGCATTTCACAAAGGTCCTTATTTTCACTAAAATACAGTAGCTACTGAACTAGTAGATAGATTTCTCCATTAAAATTAACTACCGTTTTACACATATTTTTCTTTAAAAAAACAACAGCAACAAACACTGCAGGTCACCTTTACTGCTCTATTTTCTTGCTGCCACATAGACAGCATTTAAACGATGAGAAACTTCACTAATTGCTGCAGTGCGTGGTCAATATTGCAGCTACAAAATATAAGAGAAATGCTCACTACTTTTCTTAAATTATTTTCATTCCTTAGGATTACTAAATGTGCGTGCTTCTAGCTAAAAATTAATACTGAACACAACACAAATATATATGTGCCAATATCAGGATAAATCCTCTTATTCTAAGGTCAGAGATATGAAACAAATATAATATATAACGGGACTCCGCTCATGAAACGCAGAGCTTGCTGAAACCAGCAAGTTTTCTTGCTCATAGCAGCACTCATTTCTGAACGTTCACTGCTCTTGCACTGCATTTTACACTGTACTATTGGTTCACATTTCTCATTACAGATGAGTTACCTCTTTCAGCTGCTCTTTACGCAGCTTATATTCTCTCTTCTGGGACTCCAGGAAACTGTTCAGTTCTTTTTTCTGTTGGGCCTGAATATGCTGCTGAAATTTCTTTTCTTCATTGGCCATCACTTTAGCCTACAGCAAGTCCAGAGGCAAATCAGTCTGAGGCCTGATTGATTACAACCCATCTTCCATTTCAGCCCCAATACCCAGAACTCATGGTACAGTCACGACGATACTCACCATGGCTCTGAAAAAGAGCAAGTCTCAGGAGCTTGCCCTCACCCTCTTTTCATTCCACCCCACTCCCCACATAATCACACCCTGCAGGAGTCCTTTTTCAGTGCTTCATTTTCTCAACCCATTATAATGCTCAGCTCTTCTTACCAAAGTCAACTGCTTATGACAAGCTATATCTTTAGCTTTCCACTAAGAGACACAAGATAAGCGTATCATCAAGAATGATTTCTGCAGACAATACCACTTCGTTATCAATTATTTAAAAGCATAGGAAGGAGAAAAAAAACAAACATATCCATAAGCAACTAAAGGGTGAACATTCTAAGCACAGCTGGCACATTTCTGTGCAGGCCAATCTGCTTCCATAACTCTCTTGGCAGTCAGATATTGACAGCAGATATGTGACAAAAGAAAGGAAAACCCTTACAGTATTTTTTCTGGGGTCAGTATACTAACATTTAGTATAATGCACTGTGATGAAGGACATACCTTTCCTCTAGTTACATAAACCCCTTAGTGTAAGGAGGTGATGTATTAGCCTTTTTCTAATTAGCAATTTGCTTGGCTCCTGAAAACAGACACGTAAGAGACTACAATGTCATCTCTTCGTCAGTGAGGGGAAGCGGACAATTCAATGTAATTAACAGATAGAGACCAGTCTGCTAAACTGTAATCTCATACCTCTTTTTCCATGGCCGCTTGGTGCTTTTTAATTAGCTTTTCCATTTCTGCAGCAAAATTGTTACGCTGTGTTTCAAGATCTTTGTCCAACCTGAGGCGATGCTCGTCCATCTCCGCCTTCAGTTTATTCTCTAATGCCATCAGTTGCTTCTGGTGTTGCCGTCTCATGCGTTTATAGCCAGACATTTGCTCTCGGAGTTCAGAGTCTTGTTCATGTTCCTGCATTTGCCTCGTCACCTAGAAAGACAACCACAGCAGGGCAAAATAACTTAATGCTTCTTAATCTGCTTTTCAGCAGTCTTCAAACCACACAAGAAAACTACTCATGAAATAAATACGATTTTGCTGTAAAGGAAAGCACATGTCCTAATGACAGCAGGTCAGATTAAAAACTGAATTCTGCTGCAGCAGAGAAGACGCTCAGTGGGCTCCAGCAGAAAACTGGACAACCGTTATAAACTGTTACTTTACTTACTGTTACTTAGTGTCTTAGTAGCCCACTGCAATATGAGTGTGCGCGCATACACACACACACAATATACACATGAAAATAAAACACAACTCGTTATTATAAACTGTTCCCTGCATTCTACTAGGTATACCGGTTTTGAAAATATCTAGTACAGAGAAATTAGGTTTGCCCAGGTGTCACATTTATGCATTTATTAACCCATATTAAACTAATTCAGTGATAATATGATATCAGGATATGAGGATAGCTCATATTCTGATGAAATCCTAGAAGTTGCACATCGTTTCATAGCTGCATGTACTAAGACAACCTGTCTATACAACTTCTTCAAAAGAAGAGTCTTAACATACCAGCGATGCTGTGCGTATAGTAGCAAAGTGCTCCCGGTTGCGATAATGAGACTTGTGCCGAGACACTTGGGGAGGAGACTGGGGTTCTGATGCCCTTGTTCGAGGATCTGATTCTTCTCTGTAGTTTTCTTCCTCCTGAAGAGGACACAAGAGAGCGAATAAAAAGAATCTGTGTTACAAAAGATTTTTACATTGTTCTGTTTCAGAAGGCATAAAACCAAAAGGAAGCAAAACCATTTTACACTCATCAACCCTGAAAGACTCTCCTGCCACTAAGTACACCAAAAGAATATACTGTAAGAAGAGCTATATTATGCTATCTCTGATGCTGGAAATTTCATTGTGCAATTTTATTACTAGAATAAAAATTACTAGTTACCACTGTAAATGAAAAAAAATGGGAAACTGAAAACTGAGTTAAGTAGTTTATTCCAACAAAACATAAAAGCTATATATAAGTAGATCATATCAAGTCAGGACAGACAAAAACAACTTTTCTGTAGCCCTGAAAGACAGAAGATGATTTTTTTTTTTCAAATACTTCAAAGCAAATTTTAAAATTTGTCATGGTACAGTCCACATTCTTATTTTGAGTTTGTCATTCATCACAGAGCGATTAGTAGTTAGATATGATATACTAATTAACTCCCTGAGGAAATACCTGTGTCTTTGTTGCATATCTGGCAAAGAACAAAACATTCTAACCACACCTATCATTAGCTAGGGAAACGTTACTAGTTTGAGAAAACATATCATATCCCCTCCATAGCAAGGGCAGCATGGTTCAGAGAGACACGCTGCCGCTGAGCCTTCATCATTGTGCAGGCAAAGCAAGGAAGTGGTTTCACAGCGCATCATGCCCAAAGTGCTGTATTTTTTTTCTACTCACCTTTCTTCATTAATCAAATATTCAGCTCAAGTGCTGGGATTTTACCCAATGCTGTGGGTCTAATATTTAAGAATCCACTAACAAGGAGGTAAAAAGTGGGAACTCTCACGCCTTTTGTCCCATGAAACAATGCTCTGTACACTAAGGGCACCCACTAAACAAACTTGCTATTCCAAGCCCTCATGATAAAGCAAATTTGTTTTGAAACAATTCAATTACTAAAATAGCTGTTACCAAATCAACAGAAATAAATAACAAAGTACATAAGCACAAAGTCATTTGTACCCACCAAACCACTCCTGTTCCACACCTTTAAAGTTATCCAGCCAAAAAACTCAATGCTCACCGGCTTTAAATGAATGACAGAGCTATTTGACATCACGGTGTGGTCTCCCTCCATCATATCCAGCTCACTCTTATCATCTGAGGCATCTGGAAGACTGTTAACACTACTGCTTTGGCTACTGGCACTGATAGACATACTGGGAATGGACTGATTACTTCCGACACTATTCACTGTTCCTGTCCTGCCAACACCATGATCTTGTTCCTAGGAGAAAGGAATTACACTTTTAAATAACAAATCTATCACAGTGGTATCTATGGACACTACCAAATGATATGCTCATTCTACTCTTTTATATAGGCATCCACCTGCCATGTCACAGTAGCTCCCACCCTCCAGGCATTGCCATGAAACATTTCTCTTGTGGGATGCTGAGGCTGGAAAGAATCAACCTTGTCAAGATTAACCGGCTGATGTCAGATTCTTTTCAACAGTGAGCCTGTTAACAAGCTGAACTCTATCATGAATCAGCAGCAGTGTGTTACCAGAAACTGCTCTGACACCAGCATCATCTAAGCAAGCGTTCTGCCGGCACCCTGCACTTTGCACAGTTCCCTTCTCTACACGAGAGAACTGGACTGTATCTCCGCAGTTCAGAAAGCCTTAACTTCTGCATGGTGACTGCAGCACACAACCCCAAAAAAATGAAAAAAGAGAGGAAAAAAAAGAAAAAAAAAAATCAAGTGGACTCCCATGGGTGTGAGTTTGTTTTTAAATCAAGTGCAAGTTTCTAGGTCTTAGATGCGGAAGGAAAACATTCCCCAGAAGAACCAGAAGGCTGCAAGGGGCCTTGCATACACGGCCAAAATAGGGGGCTAACTAACTACAATTGCTGAAAGAGTCTGCATAAAATCTTATGAGCATGCAAAGAAAGCTAAGATTTATACCACTGGAAGGTAACTGTTCAAGCATAGGCACAGCACAGCTTCTTGCCAGCACTAGGCATCTACCCTGCCTGCCCTTGTTTATGTCTTTCAGTAGCTTTATTCCGAGCATAGAGTTTACAGTCAGGTGCGTAAACAGCCTCTATTCATTTTAGCAAGATTCGAGTCATGGTTATTTAAGTGACAGCATCATTCTCTGGCTCACTGATGAAACCTCAAGTTTCTCTCACCTCCTCCTCCTCCTGTGCTTCAACCGCAGGGCCATTGTGTGCCTCCTGGAAGAGGAGCTTCTTCATTTTACGATATTGCAGATTGTCCAGTTCTCTCACTGCATCCTTTGTTCTCTGAATCAAGTCTATTAACACTGTTTCGGGCCGCTCCCGAAGAACAAACATGTGCTGTAGAACACACAAATAGGTGAGTGACATCTCACACCTCCAGCGCACATACTTTGGAGCACACAATTATGAACTCCAGTTGGATTTGTTCACCCTCTTTCCTGGATAGGAGGAAAAGATCTTCACAGCCTATTTGGTACCATTTTCAGACTTTGTGATCCAGGGGGCTATCAGAATGATTGTTTTCTGATGGGAGACACTCACTAAAAATGAAGATGTAAAAAACCAGAAATAGTATTTCAAATACTATGAAAACAGGGGCTCAGTTTAAACCTATACTTCTTTGAGTTGGAGCATTTAGAGACATTACCTAGTTGTGGCCCAGTGGGGGGGGAAGAGTAACAAACAACATGTAAATTCTAAAGGTGTAAGATTGGTCCCCTCTCAGCGCTCAGCGTCTCTAACCAAACACTAGTATCTCATCAGCTAACTCTCACTCTAAAACCCTTTTCCTAGTTTTGAAAGGCCTAAGAATCAGACATTCAGCATAGAGCTCTGAGTCATAAAATGGGCTGTGGACCTTTGCTCCTGGTCTTAGAACGATTAGCCCATATTATGCTCCTTCTTGGAGACATTCACTGTGTTTCATTGCAAAAGTAGCTACATTTTGCCAATAGGTGAAACGAGCCTTGCCTATCTATGTATGTTGGGAAGCAGTTTTTGCAGTCTCCAGATGAAATGTGCTGTGCAAGCATGAGTCATAATTAACATCACTAGTTTCATTTTGTTCCTTTGGAGAACTGTACTGCCATTTCCAACCTGTTTCCCTACCTGTCCCTGTAAAGCGGTATGCAGCTGTTTGAGATTAGTGATATGAAGGGAATATATGCACAAACATTTAATTCCTACTAATGTTCTCTTTAATTGCTGTGCCATGCTCAAAATAAAACCAGCCTGCAGAATTCTGAAATGGCAGGACTGACTACACACCCACACCAAAACCTTTCGTGGATAATTGCATTTACTTTCTGAATACACGATTTCTAAGGAGGCAAAAGTCCTCACAACCATTTAATTCTTTAAATAAAAAAAAAAAAAAAGAGCAAAGGTGATGATTAAACTGTCATGAATAGCATCCATTTGCTGGTAGGGCAAAATTTGGGAATATCACTCTTTAGTAGAAACATGGCTAGCATAAAATCCTCCAAAATAACGTCATAAGAACTGTAAAGAGAATGACAAGTTAATAAAATTCCGAATGCCACTTGATATCACAAAGGAAATGCACCAAAGTCACACTTAAAATGAAGCTGTAACACCTAAGTTTCACGTGAGTTGCGTTCACTTCGGAACACGTCCTTTTTGCAAACATCCAACACACTTGCTTTGTTTCCAGACTAGAGCAAAGAAAAATCAACTCTCTGCAGCACACAGGAGCACAAATCAAGAAAGAAAAGCTAAGAAATAAAGCAGGAGAAAATTTGCAAATGACTGAGGCTTATTCACGTCAAGAAAAGGAATGTGGGGAGGAAAAATCGTTTTTCTCTGTTCCCCTTCCCCCTAGGGATACTATTAGAACAGCAGATTTCAGTTCTACGTGTAAAGCACAAAGGTGACGGGAGGGGATAAAAAGCCTGCAGGCGTATATATAGCATAGCATAAAGAGGGAAGTAAAGAAAGGTATTTGTTAACTAATGCATGGCAGCTTTGTCAGGATTAATTATAGTCACTGGAAGGAGAGACCGAGCTTAAGAAACTGAAACTCTCTACAAGCTGATGGTCACCCAGTGGCACTCGTTGGGATGTTCCTTTATGACGAGAACATGGCTGGCTCGGTGAGTCACCTGGTAACTGCTTGAGACACTGCAACGGGGCAGTAAAGCTAGGAAAGCCAGCACATTACAGTCCACAGCATCCGTTAGTTCTTAGCTCAGAAGTGTTAGGGATAACAGGCAGAGCATTGTTAACCATAAGCCAGTATTGTAGGTGAGACAGGAAGAAAATTGCAGGGCACGTCCCTTTTTTTAATACCACATTGAGAACAGAAAGGACAAGCAAGCCAACCTTCAGAAGCTCCTCTGATGTAGGCCTGTCTTGAGGAATTTTCTGGAGGCAAGAATCTACGAAGTTTCGGAAATAATCAGACCTGTGGCAAGGACAGGAAAAGAATCCATTTGAATTAACTCCCCAATTTAATTTTAAAAGCTCAGTCAGGAACCAAGACATTCACATCTGTGTGCTGCTAGTAGAAAGAGTAGGGAGAAACCACACATAGCCAGTACTTTACACAACAGCATCTGACATCCCTGTGTACACCAAAGCCCACAGCTACTAGTAGGCAGATTCCTTTAACCTCAGCTTCCAGAGGAAATGATTATTAAGAATGTAAAAATATGGGGCAATTCAAGAGGAAAGAAAAGGTTCTGTATACACACAGACACCCATCTATTTCAGTACTGGGATCAACACCGTCAAATTCAATATTGCACAAATACTGCACAAGACCTAATGAGAGCATCTAGCCTGTTCTGACCTCTTTGTGCAGGTGTGGCTCATCCTCAAACCGCATCAACACACAATTCCTGAAATATTTTTGGCCCCTTAGACAAAACTTCCACACTATTGTGCAATCTGTCAGAAGTAAGACTTAAGGCCATGATTTGTTCAGGAAAAGCATCCCTCCCTCTATAAGCTAAAATTCTGTATTTTGCCCTTTCTTTCTCTGAACTAAGTTTTCAGAAGGGCGTGATTATACCCTGAACGTGGCAGTAGGTCAGTTTTACAGGTTTTATTTCTTTCCCTCCCAGTCTTCCCCTCTCCTCCACATAATTTGGAGTTTGGCTACTGCATTTTTTCAGTAAATTAAATTCTTGTGCTTTTTTTTTTTTGTCATAAAAATGCATAAAATGAGTTAATTTTTTTTGTCAAGCACCAGGGTGTAAAATAGCCTAACCAGAATATTTCAGAAGTAGAGAAAAATTTATAACAATATGGCAGAACAGATTATATTAGAGACCTAGGAGTACGGCTCAAAAAAAACATAATTTGGAATTTTTTAATTTTTATATTAGCTCACTGCATTTGCCGTTTCTAAAGACGGTCTTCAAAGCTGGCAGGCACAAAGCATTACCACTTTATGTGTACTTTATGCTTCTGAAGCTTATGCAGCAAAAACATTTGCCACACGCAAGCAACGACTTCATCTTGCAAACAATACTTCAACGAAACAAGGTTTAGGAATTGACAGTGTGGTTTGTGATTAAAAAACACACTAAAACACACTTTTTTGGCTAGCCTCTGAGCTTCAGAAGTTTACTGACCCATGAACTGAACTTATTACAGCATCTTAAGTTCTTTTAACAGCTTTGTCCTGTTTCTACTATGTTCTAGAGTCTAAAATGCATATTTAATAATTGGTCAATCTTGTATATAAGACGTACAGTGAACCTGATAAGAACCTTCCAGCTCACATCTTCCCAACAGGAACCCAGCCATTTCAAGAACTCAGCATGACAAAGCACTCCATTTATAGCAATTCCCTACAACATTCCTCCCTCAGTAATACTCACCATTCATTAGACTGTAGTGTAGGGGATTCATTCTGCGCTATGTGATATAAGGCACTCATTGCGTTCATATTAAACAAAGGAGGCTTCCTTTCCGCTACACACAAAAGAAAATAATTTTTATATAGGGAGATAGTCTCAAGTTTTTCCTTTTTTTTTTTTTTATTTACATCCCTTTAAAAAGAAATCACATCAGCAGAATCACTATTGCCCGAACATGGAGCCCCAAGCCAACCCTACCCTGCAATCAGATAGACATGTTGGCATATGTCCTATACCATCAGTTTCCCCACTGCAGAAGATGAAAGCACTTTGAAGATCAAATGCCTTGTCCTCTCAAGCTTTTAAATTACGTGGTTTATCACAGTTGATTTCTCTGACTCATTTTAATATACTAAAATAGGAGTAAGTTAACAACAAGTTCTATACTCAGTGCTTAGCCGCAGAGTGTTCTTGGTTTGGTTTTAGTGCCCCCCGCCCCTTTCTTTTTCAAACTACAGCTGCTTAAAAACTAACAAATATTAAATTCTAGTAAGACAGCAGTGATGAAGCAAAAGCTGGTTACAACCACCACCAAATCACACTTAACTGACTAAGCACACAGGCAGGAAGTCAGGAATAGGCTAGCCCTTTATACTATTTTGGGAGTTGCATTCTCTTTGGCTCTTCTCTTTCAAGCTTGTTTTACTCTTATAGACTGACACAGCATGAGAGCTTAATGAGGAAGGAGATGATCTCACTGCAACAACAGGATTGAAGCTTCACCAGAATGTTTCTAGGGTAAACCTACAAAGCTCAGCCTCTCTACAAACATTGCAGAGAAGCTGGTCAAGCCGTAAGGACGTTCTTACACCAGCGAAAACGCAACAGAGAACTTTCCTTCCTGAAAAAAAACAAACACGGAAAGAAAACACAACAAAACCAAGCCTAGGTTTTTATTGCCCTTCTCAATTTTGAATCTAAGGGTAGCACTGTGACAAACGCAAACTCAGCCTTGTTTCTATCAAATATTTTACAGTTACCTACGTATCAGAGGTCATGGTTAACTCATCAAGATTAGGGAACAGATTAAGCCCTACAGAGTCCTCAGAACTGGCAAATTGAGGAGTTGAACCTTTCCTGAAACACAGCAGTTCACCTTCTCTAATCTGTCAGATAACCACTTGCCTCTGCTTGGGACTGGACTGATTATCCACTAAGCTATTTTAAATAACTGTTCTCCCTATCTTTGCTCTCTTAACTCACCTGAATAAAATATAAAATCTTCAGAAAACACTGAAACTCAGCCTTCAGCAAGGGCCACTTACAAGACCAAGTAACAGCTTGGGAGTATTATTAGACATCTCATTTCTCTGACTTCTTTCCGTGTTTATTCAAACCAACTCAAATTGGATAACCGCACAGATCCAGCTTATAACGCTCTACTGTCTTGACCCAGTCTCACCTCCCACCAAGCGAAAAGCTCTCCACAAAGCCTAACGCTTCACATTGCAAAAATGCAGCATGCAGTAAGGCGCCCGGGGGTGTGGTCGCCATGAGCTAACTGCATTCCTGGAGCAGTGCATCCAGCCAAATCTCCCCAGCCCGCTCTGCGCAGGATTCTGTCATGACAGTCACACCCCTTAAACTTGCTTTATATTGGCAACAACAAAATTGCTGCTCTGAAGAAAGAATCTATTTCACGTCCTGGAAGAAAACGAAGTTGACAGTTTGGAATGCCAGACAGCATTTTTAGCTAAACTGTGCAGTTCACATGGATTAGCGTGTTCCCGAGAGCTCGCTCTGCCCAGTCAGACTGCTCCCTCGACCGAGGCTGTTTTAGAGAACAAGCAATACGATCTGACAAGGATGGTAGGACAGCCTCAGGTACAACGAGCAGCAGTACGCCCCATCATCCCAGGAAGAACTTTTAGCTAAGTGATTCCAGAGAGTTGGATCTTGACTATAAAGTAAATCTAAGTATTCGTGCACATTGTGTGGTGCTTTCCTGAGTGTATTCGTGTCCCAATAAAAGGTTATACATTAAATTTAAATAAAATGCTATATTAATATAGCCCTTTTAAACTGATGTTTTGCTTTAAGGAGCCTGCTCTAACAGCAGTGTCACTTCTGCCCCCACCCCACTTTACAGGTTAACACTTCAAAAACTGGATCATTCCAAATCTTAAAAGAGACTTTCCAGCCAAATGTGATAACAAGTGACAACATATACAGGGTATATGCAGCTTCCATGAAGCTGTCTGCTTGCTCCAAACTTCATTGTGATATCTTAAATTTTCATGCAAACAATATCACCATTTTACCACTAAATATATTTTCACATTGACAGATGTAATAGTTCATTTCATGTGTTTCTCAGTTCAAAAGTTAACTGCCTCTCCCACAAAACGTGAGCACCTTTAGCAATATAATTTGGTTATTTTCTTTCTCTGTACCAATCTTTTTCTTTGGGTAATGAAAACATCCATTCAATTAACATCAAACTGGAGACTTCAGTCTTGAATTCTGGGGAGCACATTTAGCTCTTTTCTCTAAAATTTAAGCCCCAAAGAAACCAGACAGGGAAGGAAGCATGGGTACTCTACACTAATTCAGATGAGTAAGTTCTAGGTATTAGAATGTTATAATTTTTTCAAAGAAAATAACTTACCTAACTCAATACAGGTAATTCCAAGAGACCAAACATCTACTTTGCCATCATACTGCCCTTCATCCATGGCTAAAATTACTTCTGGGGCCATCCTAAAATAGGAGATGGGCGCTCATAAAATTCTGTGCAATTGAACTTATCATCATCATCATCAATATTTCAGTGAAATGGAGTGCTTCACTAATTTCATCTACCATAAACAGATCATTCCCCAAAATATCAAGCATGAACACAGGTTACCAGGAACAAAGACCAGGTCTTATGGAGATAACCATTAAAATGCCACACAGCTGGGCACCCGCGCTAGTTCAAGCCTATAAAGAGGCTGCACAATGTTTTCTTGTGCTTTGCCCAGCTCTCAATTTATGAGTACTACCACCTTCTGGCCCTCCCACATTACCAATAGTTTAGCTGGCTGGCCTACTCTGGTGAAATAATTATAGCATGCAGTTGTGTAAACACCACAGATTAGGTGTAAGAGATCAAAAGCATACAAGGATCTGCAAAGGGTTTTGTTCAATGAACCTGGCCTTTCCTATGAAAGAAAAAACACTTCAGTTATTTCAACAGCCAGATGTGGTGAGAACATATGAATTGTTAAAACCACTGGGGGGAGTGATTAAAATATATTACAGACGATTAAATCCCACCTCTGTACCACTTAAAGTCAGAGTAAGTAGAACAGCAAAATATTTTTATTACTCTCTGTGAACTGTAAATACATGGAACCACAATTTCTTGAAGTCAGAACCCAATTACTATTTTTTCATTTTTTTCTTTTTCTTTTTCTTTTTTTTTTTTGCAAAGGACTTTTTATCACTACAACTACTGTAGGATCACAAAGCTAATTCATCTAATAGAGCCCAAGTACATTAAATACCCAGTAAACAATCCTTTTATTTCAAAGCCAAAAACGTGTAAGACACTTAGCTTACCAATATGGCGTCCCCACAAATGAATTGGCAGGAGAGGCTATGGAAGCAGATCCAAAGTCAGCAAGCTTCACCTGTCCTGGCTCTGTCAGCAGGATGTTTCCTGCCTTGATATCTCTGGTTATGGAATACAAATGTTAGTATTAGTCCTTCTCAAGGAAAAAAACCTTCTATAGGATAGACTATAAGACATGCCGGTATTCATACACTCAAGCTGCAAAATACCTGCATTTCTTTCAAATATGAAATCTTTAGTCTTTGGGTTAATTGCTTAACATGGTCCTTGATCTTGGAATCTAGTTTGTCTTAAACATCAACTTAAAACTTCAGCTACTTCTAATGGTACACTTAGATGAGCTTCAAATACAGTTCAGCAAAACCTGAACCAACTACATCTTTTATAAATGCTTTTATAGGAACTTCTAATAGTGGAATTATCCAAATCATTCATCGTACTAAAATGCAGCAGGTACTTTAAATATCAGGAACATTTGCATCTCATACTTATTGTCTACTTCTCAATATGTGTGTTCACTTAAAACTTATTATTATTATTATTTTTAATATTAGCACTTTTTCCCCCTTTACCAAGCAATCTTTGCACTGAAGTTGCTACGAGCTATTTAGGTAAACTGTGTACTCGGCCCGGCTTGTTATTCTCTGCTTCAAGGGACAGTCAGCACTGCATCATATCAAGAAGGGAAAAGCTAAGCAGATTCAAAGCACTTTGACAGAAATTACCAACCCCAGGTGTGGGAGATATTTTGTAAGGAAATACATAGCTTGCTAGTATTTTACTACTATTATAAATTACTAATTCAGAAACATATGGACACTGCAAGAAGACAATATTTGCTTACAAACATTGAACCAGGGATGAAGGGGATACAATCAACCAGGTAAATTACCTGTAAGTGCGTGACAAATCAAATCTATAACCACTTACCTATGGATCATATTGTGAGAATGCAAATATGCTAATCCCTGGAGAGCACCATGGGTAATTGCTGCTATTTCCACTTCTTGCAATGGCTTTTTATGAACTTAAGGAAAAAATTTATTTGAAATTCAATATTAAAGAAAACAATGCAGTTTGCAAACATGCAGTGAGTACTGTTAACAATGTAAACACACAGAAAATACTGAACTTTGATTTTACTAGGTCCAACAGGAAAATCAAACGTACAATTTAAAAACAGTTCACAGCATAACACAATCTGCAATCAAATATAATCTAACTGTAATACAGCAGCTATTTACTGTCAAAAAGAGACTCCTTTGCAATTTTAAACTGCATGCCCATCAGCTCTGTGATCATTCTCCCAAATACCTATTTGAGACTCAATATTCAGTTCTCCTTCAAAGAAGCTAAATCCCAAACCCTAGAACTTTATGACCATTCACACTTGAATAAACTGTAGCAATACAGGTGACTCCCAGGCAGCTCAGCCTTTTGTCTTAAAACGCTTCTGGCAAGGGAAGGAAGATGAACAGCTTACTGGCCACACAAATATCTTCAAAGACAGTTCACTTCAAGAAGCCTGATAGGAAAACAACCTTTTAACAAAAGACCTCATCAAACAAACCCCTAATACTGCTGCAGTACTGTTTTACTCAACAGGACTACAGCTGTTCGTAAGCATTAGGATCAACAGCAAGGGTTTGCAGAAATAAATCTTGAACTGTCATAACAGGAGAGCCTCAAACTCAAAAGAAAACAAATAGCTGACTGACAACTTACTTTAAAATAACAAAAATAAATCACACACCTAGGAGAGCTGATATTCTACAGAAAAATATTATAGCCATATAAGATTTTGAATTGGCTCTGCCCCAACATTAAACCGTAAATTCAAGGACAATTCTGCGATCCTGTAACCTCTTATTTCAGTATTATGCTTCTGACTTGCAGTCAAATAAACGTTCATGACATACCTTCTAATAAGTCTGACGCTGATCCTAAACAATATTCCATAACAAGCTGTATGAGAAGAAATCAAAATAGTTGTTAGAAAACCACTATTGGTAAATACATATTTTCCAGATTTCTATGGAGGTTAAACTATCACTGGTACATACAATGCAACCTAGATTGAGTCTGCCCTGCGTCTAGCAATGAGGAAAAGGAAGGGACACGACTTCAGTTTCAAGTTCATATTTTATGAAAATAGACTGTCTTCTTATAAACTCTGTAGGTTAAGATATGCAGCTCTTATACAAGAAGGAAAGGAGGGAAAAAATTCCAGGATACTTTGTATTCATTAGAAGTAGCAAATTATTCTTTAGCAAAACAAACACATAAACAACAATAAATTGGCATTTAGAGTGACCAGCGCTCTTTGAAAAGAACTCTGCCAGTATGATATTGTCAGTTATGACGCGCTTTTCTTGCAGCCACTCAATACAAGCAAAAATCCTAGCACAGATCAGTTTTAACAGCATAAAAGCACTTTGGCTGGTATGGTTTACTCTGCTCAGCTAACTGGCACATGCTGTATCAATGAAAGCACTTTTTTTTGCTGGTACAAACTGCCCCTACTGTAAAAAGATTTGCTGGTCTAACCATATTGACACACCTTTTTTGATGTAAGCTCAACTTTGCTGAAAAACAACAGCACTCGGCCGTAACAATGCAAGTATTATAATAAACTGCCCCATCCTGGCACTGTCTTACTGACCCCTCACACACGGACAGCTCCCACGGAAGTTAGCGTAGCCTGCCTGCGTAAGATACCAAGTAATAAAGCTTCTAAGGAAGGCAAGAGCTCATTCATAGCCAGTTACATATCGCACTGCGTATCTTATTTTATATGTGTGTATCTAGTAGGAATGTCAAATTGCAAACAAGCATATCAGAGTATTACAGGGCTATTTAAGGATTTACTTAACTTTTTGTTCAGTCAAACTAAAAAAAAAAAAATTTGTGCTACAGATTTACTGAAGCTGATGCATGAACAGTACTTACAATTTAAACTATAATTTCAACTATGTGATTTCTTTAGTATGCTCTACTACAACAACCTTGTCAATGAAAGGTGCTAAATCACAATTTTAGTTTGACAGGATTCTTCTTCTGCACAACCAAATGCATCTATTCATACACAAACATTTTATGCAGACCAAGTCAAATGAACCAATTTTAGTTTTGGGTTTGCTTTTTTGTTTAAATCAAGCATATGAAGTCCTGTTGCGATATGACAGTCAGAAATAAAACCAGCTTGTTTTTGTCACCTAAACATAAGAAAAATTAAATGGCAAAAGTAGTAAACAATATACAAAAGAAGAGTTTAGTTAAACAGTCGAAATACTAACAATTCAAAAGTTACTTTAATTAAAAACTTATCAGTTGGGGATTCTAACCTGTTCCATTAAAATACAACTGACCACTCACTTCCAGAAAATATTTGGTCAGCCTGTAAAGTACTGAGTCACCATTAATAAACTCAGTGGCATAACAAATATGCCGCTACATGACCTGCCATAACAAAACTGCCATACTTGTCTCCCAGGCGCTACAAGTGAAACTCTCTCCTTTCCTTAGAGCAGGAACAGTGGCCACAATCTTTTTTTTTCTGTTATTATTTTTATTTTAAAATAATCAGTCCATCAAGCTAAAAACGCTGAAATAACAACGTATCAATCACCTCAGTCTGCAAAAGAAAGGAGAAATTTCCCCAAATCTTGTTTCAAAAAACTACACCTAGTTTTGCTGAGCATTTGTAAGGGTCCTAGGCTATACTTGTCTGTGCCTGTGCGATGCAAATATTCAGGTGCCTCTTGAGAGCCAGCTGGAGATACTTTATTTAAAGTGCCCCTAACCAAGGCAAGAGAAGTGCAGAGTGCAGCAGATGCTTACCCATGCTGTATGCTCCCGCAAATAGCAGCCTTTGTATTCTATACTGTTAGGGTGTTTTATTCTTTGGAGGAACTTGACTTCCTTAATAATATCCTGCCATTTCTGTAGAAAAGAAAAGGAACAGAAAGACTTTACAGAACTGTTACCTTATTTTTCTTGGTGAAGTTAGTATGTCATTTATTTACTTTAAAAGGCAGAAACCATCTTAAGATTCCAAATTAAAATAAATTTACATCAACACCATGCTTTTCACGGCTCAGCTCCTCAATGGGCTTGCAACATAAGTAGTCAGCTGATCACGCAGTATGGCAAAGATCTCCTATCAATGCAGTATTTCATATTTGTATGTATGGATAGGATACACTGGTAAACACTTGATACCTGAGCAAGTCCTCAAAAAAGAAGCAACCTCTTTCTAAGGGATACCATTTCTGCTGTCATATCAAACACACATCCCAACCTGAAAGAGAGGTAGATGATAAAAAGTGTCCTCTGCCAGTATCAGCTGTCTCTCACTTACTCTGGAAGATGTAAATATCTATCCCTACTAGTAACTACATTACATCAGATGGGGCTCCATTTGCCAGCTGCTAAGCATCTCTGTTTTTGATAACATTGCTCCATTACTAGTTTAGTCTTTACAGGTAACAATTTAAACCGAGTTGCCTACCGGATAAGGGAGTAGTTTGGACAGAGTAAAAGAGTAAACAGATAAAACAAAAACCAGCTTTACATTAAAAGGAACTCTGCCAGTGCAATTTTTAGGTACAAAAGAGGCCAAGAAAATGCCATTTTCCACTGTAAAGCTAGCCACTTTCACTGCTCCACCTTGTGGGAATCGCCAAATCTCCTGTCGCATATCCGCCCAGCCTCAGGTGAGAAAAGCAAGAGCTTGGAAGTGCAATGGCAAAACTAAAACTGCTGAGAAAGATGTTCAAGAACAAATGTAGTACCCAAAACCATTTAAGTACACAGGCGTCAACATGTCAGTGTTGACAATGAAAACGTTTTCAAGGAAGAGCATCAGTCCTGAAGTTAATCAGAAGTCGAGAAACCTCCCCCAAAACTAAGAGGTTCAAAAGCTGTTTTCCAGGTCCTGTAAACATACACTTCTTCAGACATACATATGTGGCTAGGATATGTAGATGGAAAGTGATTCCAACTTACAAATAGGTTGTCACATACTCAAATGTTTTGGAAAATAGGTACAAAACCCAAACTCTACTCAATAAAAAATTTTAGGGTTAGAGAGACAAGTGAAACCTGGGCATGCGGTACCCACAGACAAAGCAGCTTACTGACTAAGCATTTCTGAACACAAGAAATTTTATGGGAGCTACATTAGCGGAGTTATCCTGATAAAAACTCTCTCACCGACGCCCTCACTTTAGTATGAAAGAGTCACTTATTTGCCTTTGAGGTACTAAGCAATAAAAACAAAAACAAGAAAGCACCACTCTAACTGGAACAAGCATTTCTTCTACACTGGGAAGAGAAAAGCATTACATTTGTTTATCAAGACATATTTTTGATTTCTTGCATAAAAAAAAAGCTCCAAGATTACATTAGGAGTACAGCACTACATATTATAAAGGCCCCTAACTTATTTTTGGAATGAAATATGTACTTATTGTAAGGAATCATTGTTCCCAAAGATAAAATCTTATTATGAAACCAAGTAAATATAAATGATACTGGAATGTCCTTAATCAATGTTATTTACATAGGCTATGTAAATAACTCTAGTGAACTTCTGAACAAAACAAATATAGAAGTAAAATAGAAAGTGTTTTAACCCTGGTCTGATTACTTTCTTCAAAATAAAGACACATATGCAATGAAGACAAACAAAAGCTATTTCTGAAGCATGCACAGTTTGTTTCATGTGAATAGAGTATTTATAGCTCATAGTAATTAAAACAGTAGGACAAGCAGTAGGTACAAATTATTCTTTCATCAGTACATGGTTAAACAAGCCACTGCGGTGACAAAAGAGAGACATGCATAGCAGATTTAACTATGAAACTAGAATTTAGGATTGCTGAAGACACTGTCGCGTCCTCCACCACATGCACACAAGAAATTATACTTGAGCTCCTTGTTGTATAGATGATCAATACACAAAAGGTATGAAGGTATGCACAGAAAAGCAAAGAGAACTGACAGTCAAACTCAGAGCAAGGTTACTTCTAAGAGTGGAAAAGAGAGAACGGAGGGAGGGAACCCTAAGTGCCTTGAACAACAGGCTTATAGTACTCTTATTAAAAAAATGATTCCATAACCTGATACATGTCATTGGTAGAAATAATACCAAACAAGCTGTTCAACTTCAAGTCAAGTTGGGCTTTTCAAGAATCTACATTAGCACTTAAACATCTCAACCATAAAACCAATTATCTCTATCAAGTGTCCTAGGGAAAAACCACACACCTAGGGTGGCCATGAAAACGTTTAATGTTTAAATCTCAGAGGTCTACTTTTACAGCTGACTTTTAAAGACTACCTAAATCCTCAGTTCTGACAGTTCTGGCTTCTGTAATTATGCCACTGCTCAGATTTCCATTCATTCACTGTTGTTGTTTTGCTTTTGTTTTAGCTCATCAGCAGTTATTTCAGGGGAGGATGCATTCTGCCTTATTACTTTATGCAAACAATATTCCTTCTGAATTTTTCACTACCGCATCCACTGCTATCATGCCTAACAAGCCTTTCTCCAGTTAGCAAAATGGTATTTTAAAAAGAATTTACAATGGAACGTTTAAGGGCAAAAAGACAACTTTTTTTTTTTTTTTAGCTTGAATACAAATATACTATTTTATTACTTTCTATACATCTATGTGGTCCCATAGAAGAGCCTTTTATGTCCAAAAGCAAAGAAACCTACCATTCCTTTCCAAGAGCAGACTAGGCAGAAATTTGCTGGGAACAGTGAAACTGATTTGTTTTGTTTACACAGCCCCCTCATTCACCTTTACTGCCATAGGAAAGACCTCTCTTGCTGTGCAGCCTCTATCATAAGCGTTTGCAACAGTCTAGATTTAACACACAAAATGCTTCACGTACCTCATTTGACTGCTTCCCACTATATGACATTTTCTTGATGGCCACCACTTCATTGGTGCGCACATCACGTGCCTGTAACATTAAAACATGAACCATCAGTCTCCTCAGATCATAAATATGATGGGAACCAAACACATACACACACACAAGGATTTGCGTCTCTGGAAGAAGCAGCGAAAACTCTTAATTTCTGCAAAAGCTAACCAGAATGGATAAACTAAAGCATCTTCTAAGTGGTGTGAATGTTGTACCTATTAGAAATTTCCTTCCAAAGCTGAAGATCACCCTCTGGTCTGTGAGATGAGGTAGGATTATTTTCCCTGTTTTTAGCATTTAGGAAGTCTCCGCAGGAGTCAAATACTGTTAATTTTAAACTACAGATCATAGCTTATAAAGGCAACTGATTCAATCAACTTCTTTCCCTGCCCAGGTACATTCCCGGCAAGACAGAAGCAAGGTTCAACCCCTTACTCCATTTCAAACATACGCAAAGATGTCACTTTGTGTGTAGGAGATACCTGCTCCAGACACTACTTTCTTCCCTGTGCTCCCAGGAAATAGCAATCGTTAAAGCCAGACAGATTATATAGCAAAAAACGGCAGCAATTTAAGTGACTAAAGCTTAGTTTCCAATTCAAACTTATTTTTGCTCTCCAATAGCATTGTTGTTTATACAGCGCAATAAATGAACGTGGTTTTTCACACTTCAAAGGCAGGCTTCCTGACTTCACACAATAATAGTCTAAGATAAGAGAATACAAGAAGTTCTGTTTAATTTAGCACCAAAGCAACGTCTCATTCACCCTTGCAGGAAGAGAGACAGCATTACTTCACCTTGCAGAAGTGATGCTTCCAAACCACATGCCAGCCAATCCCCTGTTAAGAATTTCAGTAGCGCTGGGTGGTAGACAAGGAAAAAAACCTCTGAGTCTCTCTGATAAGCATAATCAACTTGGACACGAAGCCAAATGATATAAATCAAAATAGCGTGCATCACAGCATTCATGATGACTGATGAAAATGCTGATTTTTAAAAATATCTGTACTATCAAATGCAGCCTATCAGAACACGGATTAATGAAGTACCAGGACTCTACCTTTTGTAAAAAGGTTTGTCATATTTTAATTCTGCCATTCATTAAAAAAGAGATTCCCAGAATCCCTGTCAGTGCTTATTTCAACAAGTTTACTTATGATAAGCTTGAACCAATACTATTTTTAGTTTTCCTTTTGTTTGAGAGAATATTTCCTAGCTTCTTGCTAATATTACCACAGAACAAAGATTTGGACTTTTTATTTTTGTTTTTTTAAAGACAAAAAAGAATAAAATTCTAACTCCTAGATCTTCACTAACTAGAGGCAAGCTTTGAAACATTCAAATCAGCAAACAGCCACAATAAAACCGGCAAGCAGAATAGTATAGAGCAGAAGGATCACAACTGTAACAAAAGAAGGGGGGTTATTCTTCTGCTCCATCTGCAGTATTTCAGTATAGTAGGTTTCCTGTGTCAAATGAAAGCTATTATTACATTGCAGAACACAGAGTGGGGTAAGGATAATACCAAAATGATTCCAAGGTGTCAGACTTGCAATTTCTAAGCAACTAAAACCACGAGGTGAACCAACAGAGTTCCTGTCAATTATAAAAGAAAAAGAAAAACACCCTGCGTTGACAGAAAGTTAAGTGACAGAACCAAAGAAGAAAATAGTTAGTGAACGTTCTTAGCCAGTTATCACATACGATAAACGTATCACCCCGTCTTGGGGATCACCAAGAAAGGGAAAGAAAGGTAGGTACAACTAACAAAGAGTAAACTGCATTTTAAAAAAATGCAATATTTCAGGCCTATCTGGATTTTTCTATTTATTAATTATTCCCACTGATATTTATTATCAACCTTTTTGATCCAGGCTGTATGCAATAAAAGCAGACTGTTGGTGGTGGTGCCATCTATTAAAAAACCTAAGCAAACAATCACTGATTGTGTTTGTGCAACACCTACAGTTCCTCATTGCTACGGTTGGACTAAAAAGAGACCACCACCATGGTCGAGACTGCCGTGAACGTTAAAAATCACTGAGTTTAGTTAGCTTTCCCCCCGCCCCAGGTTCCCTGTGATCTTGAATAGCTAAAAAAAGACAGTTTCTAGACAAAAGATTTGAAGATGTTACAAGGCCAGCTAATTTAAACAATTCAAACAAAACAGGTCTCTTTTTTTTTTTTTCTCCAATGACAGACATTTATGTGCACATATCCTGCTTTCCTCTGAAAACTCCACACAAAGGATCAAAGTCAGGTGACTATAGCAACTTCAGCAGTAATACAAGAGCTGCATAAGCAAAGAAAAGGTAAAGCACATCACTGGCTTTGGTAATATGCTTTTAAATAGTTATTAACTATAATCCAATATCACATTGATTAGAGGATGTTTCATAGTTTACGTTAGCTGAATTCAAACCTTGTTAAAGAAACTTAAAGGGATTTTTTTCCCCTAGTTTTACAGAATAAAAGATCCAAGACACACACTCCCCTAATTTAGTTCTTTATACATACTTCATTTACACTAAATTTCTCTTCCCATGCTGCCTTTCTCATCTTTTTGGCTTGTGCTTGACATAGGAAGTATGTTAAACAGTTTCCGATTCAAGATCTCTTGGAATTGGTAGCAGTGAGAAGGTTCTATATATTTAGTATGTAACTTATAGGTTAAAGCTTCATTACACAGAAATTATACTAGCTAACAATGTATCTTCTTTGTAGGAAGCATCCCCTTACTTAGCAAAATTATAACCCCCTGCAATGAATGCGAGTAGTGTAACGCATGCTTATGCTCCGTCTTTTTGCAAGTGTCGGACTTGCTTTCTGCCAAAGCAGCACAATCTGAACTGAGTAGAGGTAGACACGCTCTTCAGTGAATGAATGCTAGCCTACACTGAATTAATGGTCTAAAATGGTGGAAATTCACGACATCTTATTTCCTATCTCATTGGAAAAGGAGCTGGTAACGGGTAGTCAGCCCTTACAAACACTATGAAGTTTGGGCAGTCAACAGATGCTGCAAACACAGCTTCTTGCTGATGGTTGCTAAAGCCGTTAGCATACAGCTTGCAGGTTATCTCTAGCTGTATGCCAGTTTTGCATACCCCTGTGGTTTGTGCATACCGTTATAAGACAGAGTAGTCCTGAAAAACTTCAGTAATATTTCCACACAGCAGGAAAATAGATTTATCATTTCTCTCCTTTTATATCCACTCTTTTGTCAGAGGGAGAAAATTATATTAAGTAAAGACCACAGGTGAGTACTGTTTTGTTAGAAAACACTTTCCTCCTGATCTGTTCCCAGACAGTGGCAGCTCATACTTTCAAGCAGGGAACAAAATTAAGAAGCTTTTCCTAATTAGTTCATCTGTGCTGCATTAAATTTGTGCTGGAAGGTTCCCAACATGGTCTGCTGCAATTATTAACAATGAATAGGCATCTCATAAAATACTGACACAAACGGCTTTCTGAAGGAAAATTGGCAGGTTTGGCCACACCTCTTGTAATTATAAATGAGAAAAGGTTTTCTGAGGAAAAGGGGTTTTTAATGAAGGTCTCACAGTATGCACTTCGGTTAACATACAGCAACCTGCAAATGAGGTTACCATGAAATATCCCACCTCCAGTTGAGCTATACAGGCAGCCTGGGAAAAATTCTGCTGACCAGAAGCTTGTGTCAAATAAGGAGTTTTATACAGATGAGCACTGGGATTCTTGCCTGCAGCAGGAAAGGATGTGACAGGGCAACTGATAACGAAAGCACCAACATTCAGGTGGCCAAACACAAAGAATGGCTTTAAGGGAGCCTGTGGGGTATGCAAGACAGGAGAGAGAACTCAACTGCTCTCCAGGGACAAGAGCTGATAAGGAGGCATACAGACTAATAAATCTGCATTGCCAATCAAAATGGATGGAGTAGAAGCATGAGTTTTAATGTGCAGATAAACCTCTACTTGAAACATAACCACACACATAAGAGCACCAGGCAAGGACCAAGTTCCCGGTTTTTCTTTTCAGTTTGCATGCAAACACCTTACACATACTGCAAGTCCGTGAACGGACAGAGACTGCACAGACACCCCACAAGAAAAGCATCCTTACCCCAAAGATCACATGATGAGATCCACATTAGTTTCTTTTCCTCACTATGTACAAGTAGTCAATGTCCAGGGTCTAAAGATAAACAGAATACAGCTAACTTTCAAAGCCATGAAGTTACTTACAAAATAAACTGCTCCGAAGCTTCCATGGCCAATCTCTCGGAGGTCTGTGAAGAGCTTTTCTGGATCTTCTTTGAAGAAGAGCTCTGCAATTTCTGGGTCCTTCAGGCTGCCCGCTCGGCTGGTTGATGGCATCCTGCTGGGCAGTTAGCCGACCGACTATCTGGGTTTAAAGTGCTGCTTCAACCCTTGGTTCATCTGTATGAATGGAGCCTCTTCAGCATGGATTACTGCAAGAAAAAGATTGCAATCCTTGTCTGATTATCCTGCTCTCAAAGAGTCAGAAACAAAGCTACAGAAGAGCAGTTTCCCCTTCTTCCAGAGCAAGCATCCCAGTTACATGGAACAATGCAACCTATCCGATGTGATAATCCAAAGTCCCACTGACACACCAGTCAGGCACTTCTACAGAATGCAAATCAAAATGAAAACACAAAACGAGACAAGATTCCTCACTCCATCATCTGCTCAGTCACCTGCACAGAAGTCCACAAAATCTCTTTTGAGCTACAACGATAACCAGTTTGTCATTAGTGAGCCCAGATTATCTTGTTATCTTTCCTTTGAAGAGTTAAGTTACACATACTAAAATTTTAGTTGGATTTTTTTTTTAAACGGACTACACAATTGCGTATGTGTCATGGTCTTTCCAAGACAAACTACGTGGTACAAGTTTGACATGTATGAACTACCACTTCCATGTACTAGTTCTGCATTTACATCTTCTTAATTCAGTACTGTATTCCTTTCTTCTGTAATTGTACTCCAGCTAAGAAGCCAGTGACTGATTTTTACTCATTTCTGCATGCACACAGAGACTTCATTAAGGCTGCTCCGTCCGTGATTAAGTCCTAGTCCCTTCTGTCTTTTCTCATATCGAAATTCAAGAGTTCTACCTTAAAATGCTCTTCCTCTTCAGATTCTTATTCACAGTCCCCTCCCATCCCCTTTTTTTTTTTTTTTTTTTTTTTTAAAAAAAGGGGAATGGTATCTAGGATAGGAGCTATCAAATTCCACATACGTCTTTCTACTCTGTTTAAAACAGATGCAAAAATACATTTTAATTGTGATAGCACATTATACAACCCTCTACGATAGCCTACTGGCAAGCAGTTTTTTCAGAGGAACTTGCAACTTCAGATGCCATTAGGAATGTATGAAATTTTCTGTTTACACTGTGCATTTGCTTTCATTTATTCAAAGTGTATGTCTTGGAATCTATCCACTTAGGAATAAAAGTATACTTCAAGTTGTGCTAAAATTTTACTGCCTCTTTGCAACAGGTGAAGCCAAACAACCATCACAAGTAAAAATGCACATTCTTTTCCTCTTAAAGGAAGGGGCCTTGACAAGAGGGCTTTCCTGCCAATCCTCCATAAACTGTCACCAACAAAACCAGTTCTGTGTCCCTGGCAAACAGCTAATCACACAGCTCACTTAACCAGAGAGAAGGATTTCGTGTAAGACTTGCATTTTTATGTTATGCATTTCATATCTTAAATCTATTTAAAAAAAAAAATGTTTTACAACTTCACAATGGGAAAAAAGACAATTATTTTGAGTTTAACAGATACACCAGAAGGCCCTACCCCTGCCCACTTTTCCTCCTTTTCTGGAGTCTGTAAACTCCACCTTTCTCCAAGTCTCTAGATCATCAATGAATCACTTGTTTTCTCCTCCCCGTGGAGTAATTCCTACAAGGATGGAAAAAGACATACTCTTGAATGTTTATGCTTTGTGGTACTCTTCTTTATACACTTGCAGCACATAAAGTGCCAAAGACTGCCTGGTCCTTGTTAGTTCGAATGCCACCAGCTGCCAGCTGGATGCTGCCAGAATACTGCCAGCATCACTACAAGGAAAGTACGATTGCACGAGAGACAGCCAAGCATACCTAGTTGTAAAGTCTGCAAGATTCTCCAATTTTTCTGATTAAAGACATGCGTGGGAGAGAGAACGCAGAGAAGGGACGTGAAATCTCATAGCTTTCCTCCAAACAGGTTTTAAAAAGATGTATCATGTAACCCAAAACGTGTTTCCATGATAGCCCCACTCTCAGGGGCTCGGGAAAAACTGACATTCACATCTCAGTGAATGGACCAAGCACAAAAAATATCCGTATACAAAATATGCAGCTGTTCACAACTGTTATCGTGCACTTGGTGAGCATGCACACACAGATCTCACATCGAGGCAGGCAGCCTTACAGGAACCTTCACAACAGGCAGCGTTAGCACATGACACATCAACTGCCAAAGAAGCACTTAGACGTATAGCACTGCGATATCTCCACCTTGGGTTACATAACCCAGTAACAAATACAGTGTGGGAAGGATAATAATTAGCCACAATTCAGGCCATACCTGAAGCATGCTACATTTATGAAGACTGGAAGAAAAGTTTTTTGTTATTTCTGTCTGACTTTCAAAAAAGCCAACAATATTCCACTTGATTCCAGCTCTAACAAGCACATAACACTGAAAGACAACTGTTTCGCATTTACAGCCCCGAACTAAACAATAGACAAAAAGCATCAGTCAGAGAAGCGAGCGAAAGGCGCTGGGGGAAGGGAGCTGATAACCAGAGCACACTCAGTATTATTGAAGGAATGTTTCTTGGATCGACGGTAATGATGTCATGTTCCATCTTTTAAGAAGCATCAGATTCTTACAAAAAGGACATTGTTGTTCAAAAGCAACTGCAGGAATCCCACAATGCCCTTTTCCCTAC